TGAAGCACGGTGGTGGCAGCGTTTTTAAAAATGTGCTTTTAAAAACCCGTGAAAACTAGTTGGAGCAATGAAATTTTTCTGATAAATCAACTTCCAAAGTCGTGTTTTGAGGATTAAAGAGGAAAAACTAATTCAATATAGTTTGTTGGTTGAACAAAATTTCATTAAATGTTGTTTTGCAGCTTTAGATTCAGTCCAGTCAGGTCCACTGTGATCATTTGTTTCAATAACTTTGCTTGGACGTACTGAAATGATTATTTGAGTTTTTCGGACTTTACGGTCACTCCGGCAGCTTTATTATTATTGTTATTAAATCTAACGAGGCTGCTCCTCTTTGCCTCCCCGGCTGCTCGTTAATTGATCTAATTAATTGATAGCGGGTCGTGTTTGTGTTCTCTCACCGTCAGGCTCCGTTTGCTTCGACCGCATTATCCTTCGCCCTAATTATCCCGCTGCTTAATTCTGTCGGGTCGGTTCTGTTTGGGTCGGGTTCAGGTAGCACAGGTTCAGAATTTAGTGCGGGAGGAGGCAGCGGGATGGAAGCACAACCGCAAAAACAGCTTCCTCTGCTTCAGGATTTACCATCGGATCAGTGTGTGAGTGATATCTAAAATGAGTAAAATCTCATTTCATCGTTCAGTTTCTCACTCGATCAAAGTATGAAAGCAGAAAGACGACCACCTTTGATTTTTTTATAGCACAAAACGTGGATGTTTATAAAGATATCTGGGAAATTTTAGCTTCATATAGAAAATACTTTCAGGTATTTCCAGTTTAAAGTTTGAGGCGGTTTGAACAACAACATCTCAGAAACTATTAAAGATAAAAACCTGAAAATTTCACCGTTATTTCTCATCATGCCTTTGATTCGTAATCGGTAATATTGGACAAGTAGCTCCAATCACCAACTTTCTGAAGCTTCATGTCACAATAAGACAGAACAACGTCGATTAAATGTGCAATATGTCGTCATCCTTTGTGATATTACATCAATACCTCACTACATTGCTTCTTGTTTTGCTTCTTACTTTTCTATTCTAGTCTTATTTCAGCTGGTGTGTTTTATTCTTATTGACTCATGTCTTGGTGCTTTTCTTACGGTATGTACGTTTGTTTTCTGTGCAACATCTGGCAAAAGAATTTCCTCAATAAAGTTTGTCACTGAAATAAAACATACTCAGGACTTTTCATATTAAATACTTGTTCACAAAAAAGAGAAATAAGACAACAAAAGCAAAAATATTGATAAACAGTCGAATGCAAGAAGCTAAAATATCTGTAGCTTATGAAGATTAGATGGTCGAGCAGAAGGTCGCTGATGATTGAAGATGGAATAATGGCATTTAATTTCGATAACAAAGTCCCGTCCCGACATGGACGCCGTCTACGGTTTTGCCACGACGAGCAAAACATAAGACAAACACAAACAAACAATAGAAACAGGCACAGAATCTCCGAATGCAGAGGATTAGTTTTTAAGATCAGCCGAGCTCCGAGCTGAAAACCAGAAAGAGTCAGTTCTGAATCTTCGGCTGCAGACTCGAGTCGATGAGGAGCAGACAGCGGGTCAATAGAATTCATTATCAAGTTAACTGAACCAAACACGTGCAACACGGCCAGAAAACACAGCCGCCGCGTGCCAAGAAAAACACGGTCCACACAGGCTGCATGAATAAAAGGCCCGAGTTTGTTCTGGACGCGCCGGGTCGGACGAACTTTGAAATCTGAAGCAGTAGGACGGCTCCTCACTTGCAGGAGTTTCAAACTCTTAATGGATTTGGAT